ATATTTCAATCAATTTTTATATACTCTTAAATATTTTTAAATATTTTAATTGCCATCACTAGTAGCGCTGTGGTACAGAGCTTCTCTAAATCGGTACGATAGGATGATATGAAAATGGTAATAAAATCCCAGGACTTCTCGAACGTGGGATAAAAAAATGCTTTAGATGTAGATCTATCCATATATCTTGTCTGTGATGTGGCAGAAAAATGCATCAAATGTCACGTGTATTCTGCACTTCATGTAAACACAAACATAAACACACACACCTCTGATTTATTGTACGATCGGTATTTCAGAATGTAGGACACGAAGCCTTATAAATTGATGGATTTATCTCAAATCTCATCCGGATCTATGTTTGGATCTACACCTCATCCATACCATAATTAATTTACAGTTCATTAGAATTAGTTTAAAATTGGAATAGAGTAATGTTAAAAATTGCATACTTCCTATTTATTGTACAACTTTTACATAATACATTTCAATAAAAATGTCTTCTAAAAATTTAATCATTTATTATTACTTGAAAAATTAATATTTTTTTTCATTACGTACTCAAGAAGAAATTAAAATATAAACTTTCATGTTTCATAATTAAACAAATCAATTATTCTAAAAACTTTGTATCATAATAATTAAATTATTAATGCACATTATAACATAAATTCTTTAATATGAATATTTATAGAAAAAAATAATTTTATAACTGAGTATTACTTATACTTTTTTTTAGTATAACATTTTCATTTTAAATGTAAATAATTATATTATTCTATTATGATAATATTCAGATCAGTATTTAAAATCTTATAATTAAAAATCAGCAATTCATATTGTTTTCATATTGTTTCATATTTTAATTTATTAATTAAATCTAAATATCATAAAGAAATCAAACAATAAATATATCAAACATTGAAATTGAATTGAATGGAATCAAATGCATTGAACATTGTTTCTGACTTTTTATATTGCGCATGTGCACTTTAGATTCAGTGAAGTAAATAATAGATGCGTTGAAAATCCGCATGATTTTGTTTCGGTTGGCATCCTTTGTTCCTAATGCATGCATACCATTTATTATTTACACGTGTTTATTAAATATAATTTTCTATAATCTAAATCTAAATATATATTGAAATAACTTTAATCTATATATATGTATACATATGAAAATGTAGAAAATTTGAAATTTCAATGAACCCATCTTCCCGTATGTTGTTTAAATTGAATTACCAATCCTGTGAAGTATAGTCAATATTCGTCTTGCGGTAATATCAAATATTTCTTTCGATGAACCATCTTTATATAGACTACTTCACGGATAAAATGTGCGTCCAAGGCTGTGTCATTATATATTAGTAGTGATGTGGAACTGCAGTAGTAGAAGTATGACGGAGAAGAATTTGTTTAGCGTATTATTTCTAGTTATTGCAATAATATTTAGTGTAATATCGCAGTGTTCCTCAATTTTATCAGACAAGCGACTATGTTATGATCCTAACTGTTCCGGTAATTGAAGCCATACTTTATCTACAATATGTATCTAATTTAAAATCTTTCTCTTTTGTCATTCTTGTCATTATTTAATAATATATTTTCTATAGAGCCTATTTCATTAGCTAGGACGATCATCAATTATAAACCAAATGAGGCAGGATTATTATCATTTAAAATTAATGACAAAGTTACAGTTTATAGTAAAGAGGCAGGCAGGAGAAAAGATTTATGGGGTGTAGAGGTAAATTTTATGAATTTCTATTTCTATGATTTCATTTATTAATCTTTATTGTTCATGTTGATGTGTAAAATTATCTTATAACAAGACAATCTAATAAATCTTAATAAGATCAAATTAAATGTTGAAAACAATATAAAAATTGATTATAAGTTTTTCCTTAGTTTGTAGTCTTTCTTTTTATAATCTAAGAGGATCTTATAAATTATCTTTTAGATAAATGGTAACCATGGATATATATCAAAATCATTTGTAAGAGAATATAAAATTTTACATAAAGATTTACAATATGAAGTTTCGATTGATCCATTATTTAAAAACAACATTTCATCGAATGAGAAGCTTCAATCGAAGAAATCAAATATTGAAAATAAATCAGACATCAAAGCTTCTAATGAACAAATTGATAATTTGGATTTAAAATCCTCAAAAGAACTGCCACAGAGTGGAAATAGTATAACTCCATCTTATGAGATTATAGATGGAACTACAGTCCACTTAGATCACAATAAGCCTTTTGAACCAACCTTTGTAAAAGAAAATGTACAAGCAACAATAGCATCCAATGGACAAAATGGAGTTGAAGTCTTAAATAAATTAGAAACCAAAGAACAAGCTTCTAATAAAGCTGATTTTGAAGATTTTGTAAAAAGTTCAGAGAACATATTAGATTTACCACAAATATCTGGCATACATAGTTCACCATTGAACATAAGTACACTTTCTGATAAAGTAGAATATCCAACAGAGAATGTAGAGAATAAGACGCTTATTAATATAGAAGATAATCAATTCTCGGACAAAATTATTAACAATCTACAAATATCTACAGTTAAGAGTTCCAAGGAAGAATCAAATATCGAAAAAGAAAAAGTGAGTGAATTAAATAAAGAAGATGATATCAGCTCTAATGAAACAGTTGTAAATAACACTACATCAGATGTACAAAGTATGGGAGTCACTGAACAAACTAAGAGTGTAGATATTCAATCGTTACAAAATGCTACAACATCTGAAACTCAATCACATATACAAAATGCAGAAAATTCTAGTAAAATTAAAACAGATATCTTTCCTCCAGCAAGTATTGAATTAATTACATTTAATGACACTAAATCAGGTAAAGAAAATGTTGAAAATTCTGATTTTAAAATTGAAACAAAAGATATTCAGTTTCCTCAAAATGTTACAATAATTGTGACTAGTGATACTAAATCAGATGAACAAAGTGTAGAAAACTCTGATAAAGTTGAAACAGATGTTAATTCTTCAGTAAATGTTGCCATAATTGCGATCAATGACACTAAATCTGATGAGGACAATGAAAGTTCTGATCAAATTGAAATAAAAGATATTCAGTCTTCTCAAAATGTTAAAATAATTGCAACCAGTAATACTAAATTAAATGAACAAAGCGCAGAAAATTCTGATAAAGTTGAAAAAGATGTTCATCTATTAGTAAGTGCCATAGTCGCGACTAATGACACTAAATCTGATGAAGAAAATGCTGATAGTTCTGATCAAATTGAAACAAAAGATATCCAGTCTCCACAAAATGTTACAATAATTGCGACTACTAATACTAAATCAAATATACAAAATGCAGAAAATTCTGATAAAATTGATGTAGAAAATTTCTCATTATTAGAAAGTATTAAAACTCGTATAAAAAATTTGGAATTACAAACAGAAGAACAAACACAATTACAAGTAGAACAAGATGATTCAAGAAAAGTAAAAGAAAGCAAAAACATTGAAAATTTAAGTAAATATAACATTGAAGAAGATGTAAACAATAAAGTATCAGTTGTTACTGATACCAATAATATTGAAGGTAAAAATATTCAATTTGTTTCAAATATTAAACAATATGAAAAAATCGTATTAGATGCAAAATCTAGTTCAAATATTGAAAATATTGTTTTTGTAGAAAAAATAACATCAGATATTCAATATAACTTAGATTCTGAGGAGAATACTTTGGCAATAACTAAGGAAATATCTGAGAATACCTTTTATAGGGCAGAAGGTATAAAAATGACTGTATAATAAAGTAATATTATTTTCTTTAACATTCATAAATAATTTCAATTTATATTAATACTTTTTAGCTTCATTTCCTAATGTTTGTAAAATTGATAATATTGAATGTTCTTTAAATGATATTGATAATGATTTTCCACATCATGTAAGTATGAATTATAGAAATATTACAACTATAATGTTTTTCCGTGTTATTTATTATTTAATTACTTGTTACAGGAACAAGTTTCTCAAAATAGTGAAAATGCTCCGATAAATGGGATAAAAATTGAAAATTATTGGTTAACATTAATATATCTAAGTGTCACTGCTATTGCAATACTTATGTTTTCTTTAGGATACTACTGCATTGAGGTATTACTTTTAATATATCTCCTATATATGTAAATTTTAGTAATTTAATAATTGTTAACAAATTATTTAAAATATATGAATAATAGTATGTATGAATAAGGAAATATGTATATATAATTTTACTAATTTTTATATGTTTATAGAATATGAGGAGTGATAGACAACTGATAGCTAGAATCAACAAACTTGAAAAAGATTTACTTATTTCAGAAGCAGAATGTACAATGGTGAACGAAAATTTAAAATCAACAAAAGAAAAGGTAATGCAATTATATATTCATATTACTTTTGTAATGAATTTGTAATTTATTACTTTATATTATAGTTGAGTCGTATGGAAGATGAATCATTCGGTTCCGACGAAATGGTACTTTCTTTAAGGGCTGATTTAGAAGCATCCCAGGTAATATTTCATATCTGCATTTAAATATATTATATATAATATTAATATAATAATAATTTAATAGAATGCGAAAGCGGAATTAGAAGATCAAGTAGCCATGTTGGAAAAAGATTTAGAAAGTGCTACTGAAGCTGGATTAGAATTAGAAAAAATGTTGCGGGAAGTTCTTTCGTCAAATAATGAAGTTAATCCGTTAGCTCAGTCAGTTGAGGATCTACAAAGTCGATTGAATGCTCAACAAGCTGCAAATGAATCTTTAACAAATGCCTTAAATCTTAAAACTCAAGAGGTATGTATGTATGCATGATGTGTATATATATATATAAATTAGGTAATCAATATTTTTATAAATAGAAATATCTATTTAATTGTTTATTGTATCTACGTATTTATCGCAGCTTGAATTCAATAAACTTAAGGTTTGTAACTATAGGTATTCTATAACTTTTGCATAGCGTCAAAAATAGTATTATATAATACAGCATAATATGTAGTATTATACAGAGCAAATCATTTAATTGAGATCATTTAAATAACTCTTGTGATTGAAGATATGGAAAAACTTTGTTAATAAAAATTATTCAGCACTAAAAGGGCCATAATATGATAGTAATGATTTTTTTGCACGTGGAGAGGTTTGAAAATTTCAAGATTATCTCCACTTTTTTAAATGTAGTGATATATTTT